AATATCAGCAGGTATTACAGACAACAAAATAAATAGTATCAGTTACTAGCTAAATATATAATTCAAATGTAACATATCAAAAGAGTAGAGACTATTTTCCCACTTTATTTATACTATTTTAAAATCAGTCTATAAAGTATATCAAATGTGCATGTATATGTAGGTATCATGTATATGAATGTATACACAATATAGACTAAACTGAATATCAACTTACCAAAGACATTGATTCTGTAGAAAAATCTCTTACAGGTTTAACATAAACCTGAAAAAAAACATGGTTGATTATATGCAAATAAACTCCATTATGATTACAAACTTTTCATTTTGGTGAAACTATAAACTTATGTATAATTTAAATTCACTAGAATGGCTTAATGTTAAGGTTTACAAATAAGACAGATATGGTCAAAGTTGTCTAAGTAAACCAAAATCTCCTTTACTAATTTTAGTATCATTGAGCCACCCCAATCTTAGGATTATAGTTTTGGCAGTTTTAAAAATTTCAATATTAAATGGTTATCATTAAGAAATCTTCCTTTCCATCTGGAATCATTCCAAAGTTAAAGCCAAGGAAAACATTTCTCTTTTAAACTTAAAATATGCGATTAAAATAATTTTATTAGAAGAAATAACTTATCTGCAAGTATACAGAAATGCTGCTTATATTTCATCACTTTAGTTTGATAAAATTATGATTAGATTAAAATTTATGGACTTACATACACAGTTGATTTTAAGTCCTCAAATGCTTTCAAAAATAAACAACTTTTCCCATCTCTGCTTGTAGATGAAGATGCTGACAGAACAATAAATCCAGTTACTGCAATAGTATCCTATGCAGGAAAAAAAGTTTTTAATCATCAAAATATCTACAATTCTGGATGTGATACTAGTTCTTTTTTTTCTTTTAAAGATTCACTTATTATGCATACAGAACTGGGGTACAGGCCAGAGGTGCAAGGACAGAGAGAGGATTCACCAGAGGCAAAGTGGGGAGCAGAACAGGCCAACTTAGGAAGTACCACTGCTGAGGGGAGCAGCGGGTGGGTCAGGAGAGGTCTGCAGGGACATGTGGGGCACCTACGGGGCAGGCTGGGATCGAACTCAGGCGGAAGTGGTTTTAGACTCCCAGTGCTGCGCTTTAACCCACTGCACCACGGGGGAGGGCCCTAGTTCTTATTTTTATTATCATTTAAAAACAAGAATCAGATCTATAAAATGAAAAACTTATGTCTAAATTTGTTTGATGCATTCTGATTACCAGGTGCAGGTTCTCTAAAGAATTTAACACTCCACTTCATAGAGCAGGAAAAGACTACGTAAATTTTATGTATTTAGTGGGACTTTAAAAATCAATGTTACCTCAATTTATGTGTAAGCTTGTAAAAACAATGAAGATGAAGAACTAACAGAGTATTTAACAATATTAAGAATTTAAATGAAACCAGAGTTGAAACTACATTGAGAAAGACATACCATTAATGTGAAAACTCTACATTGTGACAATACTAACAACAAATGTGCATATAAATGTAGAGTATGAAATATAAATTTAAAAACTTCCATTTATAAACTAAGAACAACATAGATCTTCTTGGTTACATTTATAAAAGTAATAAACATCCATTCTCCTGCCTTCAATCTTTAGTTAAAGCTCCCTAATCTGATATTCTAAACACTGAAACATATACATTTATATATATTTAAAATCAGACACACACACACACACACACACACACACATAAAATCTTAACTCCTCTACTTTTAACAAAATTTTAAGACATAAAAAACTTAGGCTTTAAGTACCTTCCTTCAATAACCTTAATCTCTACTAACTAGAAGCCTTCTGCAATACTGATTTTTGCTTTGCTCATAGAAGGGTCTGGTGTCAAGCCCCAGGGTACTGTACTTTGATGCATTAGCCAGGCTCTGAGCACTTTAAGACAGGGGTCATGCCCTAGTCATTTTGGATGTACAGAGTATGGAACAAAGTAGGCCCTCCAACAAATATCTCTGATTCAAAAGACTTTACATGCTATTCTAAATTCTCTGGTATTATTCAGATATTTAAGCTATGCAAGTTTCTGCCTTTTTATACTTAAGTGAGACTGCAAACAACTTACTCTACCTAGTCTAAATAACAATACTTTCCACAGTAAACTGGGAAAAATTATTCTTACTGAATATTTTGGTTCTACTATGTTTTAGGCAGTTTTATGAGGGGAATACAATAAATATTAAATATTTATAAAATAAAATATTAAGATTGCTTCTGGAGTAAATTACATTTACAAACTGATAAATATGCAGTGTTTTCAATTTATCTCAGATTAGTACATTCTGATTTAAATGAAAAGATTTGAGTCAAAGATTTAGAGTTGCTTAATTGAAATAAGACAGAAGAAAAATGGAAGTAGGGAAGTTATTGGCTTATCAGTTCTAAATTCTCTTAAAAGCATGATATCTTCTATTTTACTGAAAATTCTTACATATAATATACAGAAAGAAGTATATTAAATGCAGCGAGGAGGGGTGCAGACAAAAAATTTACTTCTACTTGCCTATATAATCTAAATTTTTTAGAATACTGAGTTTTTTTTTTCATGATGGAGAAATATTTTAGCTGATTAAATCACTCAAAGGTGGACATTTGCACACATAAGAAATTCTTTTCAGATCTATTATAACACTAGTAATACAATTACATAAAAAATTACGGCTTCTCCTCTATCATACATTCAATAACATGGAAAAATCCCTCAAAAAACTTAGGCAAAAGAACATAACACAACTTGCTATATTTCTCAACATGAATTTATACTGAATATAAATATATATGTTTGTCCTTGATAATCTCCTCCCACTGAGCTAGTCTGTTTATCTCCACATTCTTCCACTCAGTGCTAGACAAATTAGGTTCTCTTACATGCCTAGAGATTTTCCACATACCTACCTTTGTTTATTCTGAGCCCTCACTAGTAATAAATAGAAGTTTTCTGTTTTATATGCATCTGACCTTACCTGTGTTTGAAAGCTGGTCTAGATACATGCATGAGCACAAACATTCATACACACACATACACACACACACACATACACAAAGTACATCTGCCTTGTGAGCTGTATTTTATATTGTCCCTGTTCCAGAAAAAATAATTCTTTTCAACAATCCTGTGCAGCATTTTATTATTTTTTACCAGGTATGTTCTTTATAAACTTTTAATGCCCCGAAAACTGTAAGATCTTTGGGACTAAGTATAATACCTTATCGACCTGTACTTCATGTAAGTGATTGGCTTCTGTTCATAATCAGTGGGCAACAAATATTTGCTAAGTGAGTTAACAGTGATAAAAACTGAAAGGCAGACCAAAACCAGAGTGAAAAGAATGAAAGGTTCATAGCATTCATTTCCTATGCATTAATAAATCTTAACAGCTTTTAAAGTAAGTCAAAGACCCAGCGGATAAGAAAGATAAGTATAGCTTGTATAAATACTCATAAGATTGAGGTAAAAATCAAAATTTAATATGTATTATTCTAAGTTCTAAATTTTTTAGAAGAGCATACTGAAGGATTCAAAGATAGGAATTACATAGCTAAGTGTGCCATGTTCTGATACACACAGTGGTTATTTATTGTAATCCACTGAAAAAAGCATTAGGAAAATAGCCTGAGGACTGTAGCATGGTTAATTATGCAACAAAAGTGGTAAGACTCTATTACTATATGTGCATGAAGGCTACAGAGTGAAAACATAAAAGCTATAGCTGAGGACTTTGAATTAACTCAGGTAACTCAGCTATTAGCAAATGGGTCATTTCCTTTTTGGGTCTGTACTATTCAGTTGTACTAACATGAAAAAGAGTAAGCCCAAATGCTGCTTAGTTGTGTCAACAGGAATAGTTCTACCATAGTACTGGCTCAGAGAAAATGAAGGAAATAGTAGAGATCTTTTAACATGAAGAAGTATCCCTTAAAAATCAAGAATTAACTTAAAAAGAAAATAAATTAGAATGAGAAGAGAGATAGTTAACTTCCTCTTTTACAGTCTAAAGCTCTTGTTTTTCTGATCTAAGGGTGCTGGGTACAACTTCCAGCATAACTTGAACAGCAGGGTGAAAGCAACATCCTCTTACAACTAATCTTAGGTGGAAAACATTTATTCTTTCACCATTAAGTATATTAGTCCCAGTTTTTCATAATTGCTCTTTATTATGCAGAGTGGTTACTCTGTTCTTAGTTTTCTGCATGTTTTGATTATGAAAGGATATAGAATTTTATTAAATGCCTTTTTTGCATCAATTAAGATAGTCATTTTTTTCTTCTTTGCTCTATTAATAGAACTTATTTTATAATGGTTGATTTTTCGTATACTGAACGAAATTGCATATCTGGGGTAGATTCTACTTGGTCACGGTGTCTATTAGTTTTTTTTTTTAATTTTTTTTTTAAATTTATTCATATAGAACTGGGGTACAGGCCAGAGATGCAGAGGGTGAGAGGATTCCCCAGGGACAGAGTGGGGAGCAGAACAGGCAGATCGACGAAGTACACTGCTGAGGGGAGCTGCGGGAGGGTCAGAAGTCTGCCACACCATGTGGATCTCCTCCGGGGCTTAAGCTTCCTAGTGCAGTGCTTTAGCCCACTGCGCCATCAGGAAGGGCCCATGGTGTCTATTAGTTTTAATAGACTCTTGAATTCACACTCGTATCTTACTGAAGATTTGGCCAGCATGTAATTTTGAAATTACAGGTCTTTTAATATGAAGAAGCATTCCTTATACTTATATACAGAGATACAGTTTATAATTTTTTTAGTTAGCAAGAATTAAATTTTTTTTAATTCAGCAAAGGGAAAATGTATCTATTTTAAGGCAGTCTGTTGAATATTAAAAATTAAAGTGAAGTGAGAGGAAAACTGTCCCATTTTATTTTAGAAGGTTTTACTGACTTCTTAGGGTTGTTGCAACTTCAGAGATATTGCTTTTTAAAGTATAATTTTTAACATAGCTGCTAGTAATCACACATCTCTAAAATAATGTTAGTAAGCATGTTCAATAATTCTATTTCAAAAATAATCTAAAACCATCTTACCCCTTTATAGAAAACTTTTGAACAATCCTTTGCTAATTTTCCAAAAAATAATATATTTATAGTACTGGTTTCTGAATTTGAATTTTCCAGTTCTACAGAAGAAAAAAAAAACATATACAGAAACATAAGTATAGCAGTTTAATTCACACAATAAAATAGATGACAATTATATTCTAAAAGCTATTTCAAAGTGTGCTCATGAAGAAAAGTCAAAGTGTTTACAATTTACTTTAGTAACTTATGTATTCAAAAACCAACATGCAGGTGAAAATCAAAACTATAACAAGTTTCAAATAGAATACATTCTACAAACTTTAGTAAATAGCACATTAACATTACGTAATGACCATAAAAATGACTTATTATTTTTCCATGCTTGTAATCAAAATTAATGAGGTCCATATTATTCAGGTTTTATAATGTATTATCACCCACAAATAAATTACTACTGAACTTATAGTAATCTACAGTTTTCAGTACACTAAATTTTAATTTAGACAAGTGTGCTTTTCTTTCTCAGCACCTATGTATGCAAGAGTAAAAAGCACACTGTGTGTAGTTAAACACTGGGTTATCTGTGAATGTGGCAATAAAAGTTACTTCAGAAATAAAGAACGGACACTCTACAAGGAATCTCATTTGAGTATTCTAGGCTGTAGGGAGAATCTCTATAATTTTCATTCTCTAAAAGTCATATCAGCAGGACCAAATGATAATAATGATATCATCTGTCAGAAGTATCATCCATAATCTGCTTTCAAGCATTCAACTACTGCAGAAAAATGCTCTCATATCAGATTTTCATGCATCTGTCAAGTACATGAAAGAGCTTTCCAAAATTTGCAGTCTTCTTTATATGATGGAGAACCCTCTCTGGTCTACTGGCACCTAGCAATGAAACATGGCTACCTATTGTCTCTCTAACTTACCCCTCAAAACAATTAAATACACAAATTTCACGCTCATGTTCTTCAAATACAAAGTTTTCAAAAGTCTATTCCTGGCCATATTTGGTGTAACCATGATGCATGGTATATTCCATGGTGCTAAAAGCGCCATGGATTTACTTTCCAGTCTTATAACAATGCTCAGAGACAGATAAAAGAAAGTGGTCCTGTTAATTATTAAAACACAGCAAAAGCCCTAGCTTACTTTCTGGATAGTTTTCAGGCTGCAGACAATGTGGACACTTCCAAAAGCCCCTCTGCAAACCCAGAGTTCAGATTTAAGGAGGCCGAAGAAACTAGAATTTGCAGAACAGAATGCTGACAGGAAGGGAGAGGCAAGGAAACAGAGTTTACTGCACCATTATTTTCAATAGCCATAAGTTGGAAACAATCATTCACAAATGACTCAATAAATTAGTGGTATATATACATAACAGAATACTACACAACTATACAGAAAGATGAAATTCTCCCATTTGCAACAATGTGGATGGATGTAGGTTTTATGCTTAGTGAAATAAGTTAGGAAAGATAAACACCATATGATTTCACCCACAGTGTATACATAAAGAAAAAAAAAAATGAATGAACTAAAAAAAAATAAAAATAAGTTTTTAGATTATTTGGCCAAATTAGTATTTACCAAAAGGATACAGAACCAGAGAGGAAAGGAAGTCAAGGAAAAATCAACTGTATTTAGGAAAGATTGAACCTTTAGTGACGAATTTAATGTAGGATATAGAGATGCTGATGTATAATGAAGCACAACTGAAAATTATAATGCAGTACTATGTCAGCAATTTACTTTTTAAAAAACTAAGTTTGCTAAGCGGTTTAGGTCACCTGAGTGGAATTAGAAGTAGGTGAATAAGAATCAAAATATGAAGTTAAAATAGTGGCAAATTAGAAGCAATGGGGACAAGGAGAAAAGAGAGGTAACACTAGCTTTTTATTCTACAGCTTTTTGTATTACAGTTTTTTATGTGTTCTCATCACCCCTGAAGAGTTATTTTTATGCTCATGTGTGTGACACATATATGTACACATGTGTAGACATATAAAGTTACCCATTTTTAGATTAGAGGCAAAAATTTAAGCAGAAGTGGTCTTTTTATATACCTTGTAGTCCAATTTTCAAAACAGCTGTTCTGTTTCCATAAGTTAAAGTAGAGATAAATGCAAGTTTCCCCTGAAATGAGAGAAAAATAGTTAAAAGCCAAAATACAGAAAAGTCATTAGTTTATGACACGTAGATATCAATAAACCTGTTTTTTTAAAAAAAAAAAGATTATCTTCCAAGTACTGTCACTATTTTAAAGACATGACAATGACTTTTCTAGAGAAAAATCAGAAGTTCTAAAAATACTTTAGGTTCATAATTTAATTTCTTAAACCACCTTATTAGTTAAATTTCCAATTCGTTGACTTACGGATAAAGGTGAACTAGCTCAGTCCTAACTTCTTTTAACCTGTAATATTGTTCACTACTAATGAAAACAATGAAATTTGTGCCTAGAAAGAAATGAAAATTTATAAAAGAATGAGGAAAAAGTACAAAGCAATCATCTCAAAAATACAGTGTGGACAAAGCAGTCACAAATGCAGCTTAATCAGATGTAAATACGAGTTACAGATGCAGGAGAGGAGCAATATTTGAATTAATGTTTAAAAGGTTTTCCAAGAATGAGGGAAATAAATCCTTATAACTCAGAAACAAAATAATTTCCAACCAGTATAAATAAAAATAAAATTACCCAATCACATCCAAATGAAAGTGCTAGACACCAAAGGCGGTAAGACAATTCTTAAAGACAACCAAGAGTGAAAACATTACCAGGGAAGAAAGTGGTGGGAGGGGAGGGAAAGTTAACAACACAATAAAACATTCAGATTGCAACAGATATTTCAAAGGCAACAAGATCATACATAAAGAATAAGTCATATCTTCAATGCTTAGAGTGTAATGATTGGTCTAGTCTCATATAATGGGAGAGATTTTCAAATAAAAGGACTTTTTGTTTGCTGGATTTTTTTTTAATTGTTAGAGGCCCTCCATCATTTAAATTACCACTCAGAGATTTACTGTAGAAAGAAGATGGTACACAGCAGGTACAAGAAGTAACATGCATAAAGGATGGTAAGAATGATATTGAACAGATTGGCAAATGTAATAAATCTACATTAAAATTACTATAAAAATGCCTAATCACATGAGTTTTAAAAACAAGACACAATAACTACAATATTAGACATGAAATACAATTAGGAAGGGAACCTACATGATGACTTTATTTAAGTCTCTATAAATTTCAAAAAATTGAATTTGCAGAATTATAAATAAATAACATATTTAGACATTCTACCCAATGTTAGCAAATGTTTTCGTTAACCTCACATTCCATGCAATTACAAACTTTCCTATTCATTCCTCTACCACCAAATATATTTCTTTTATTATGAAAGTAAATATTTATTCCAAGTAATCACAAAAACCTCCTGTTTTTTTTTTCCTACTTCTCCAGATCATTTCAGTCTCCTGTCCATGCCATATTCTTTCACTTATTCCGTCAACACAATTATTCTTTTTGTCTCATTCCATTCTTTCACCCAAACTAGAATTCTAGACCCAATTGTTTAATGGACATTACCACTTGGATACCTCCAAAAATGTCTGAAAAATACCCAAATTAATCTCACTATCTTTCTCCCTCATTGTGGGCTCCTATAGTCATCTCAAGGCTGGCCAGAAATTAGAAACATGGCCTCAACTCCTCTTGTTTCTCTTTATCTAGTGATAGCTGTTAATTCCCCTTCTATATCCTGTCAGTTCTCAAGCAGATCATCTAGATTCTAATTCTAGCAGTGACACTTACTAGCTACATATCTCAAGCCAACTTTAAGTTTTCCTTTAAAATTAAGAAGTACTTATCTAAGTACTTATTTTTTTTTATGATTACATGAGTTATATAAAGCACTTAAACTATTACCTAATTCATGGAAAGAGCTCAATAAATGTTATCTTTTGCTATTATTATTTTAATACTATTTTTTCATTCTCACTGCCCTCATTTCCTTTGCCACAGTCTCAACTCTCAGATGACCATATGCCTCTTAACTAAAAATCCTTCTTCTAATCTTGTCTTGTCTAATACTTTCTTCACCAAGAAGGCAGAGTAGTTTGAATGTCTCAATTCTGTGTAAAATCTGTTAAGGATTTTCCATCATTTTTAGCATAACATCCAAATTTCTCAAGATGTACATGCTTTTATCCTAAATGAAGGTATAATCTCCTTAAATTACAGCCCAACTTTCCTGAAATCACTTCTCAGAACCACAAGTTCTCTTTTAAATGTCCACATATCATAATGCTAATACCACATGAGATTGAATTAGAGATTAGGTGGTCCAACCTTTCAGAGCTGACCAGCATGAAATTACCTGCAATCCAGGGCCATATTAACTCATCACTATACTTCCAAAACTTATTCCAGATTATCACAGAACTCAACTAATGCTGGTTTAATAGCCGTTGAATGATTAACAATAACATCAAAATAGTCTCATATGTTATGACACAGATAAAACCATTCTTAAAACTCTCATAAATCAGCATAATATTAAAGTTCTCATTCCTTTAAAAAGGAAAAAGTTCTAGTTATAAAAATTCTTACCTGGATATATTTCTTGCTATAGTCACAATCTGGCTGTAGAGATCTAAAATCTACTTTATGTAATTTATTGAGAAGATCAACTTCAGGCACCCCATTGACTTCTTTTATTAATTCAAGTGGCATATCAGACCTGCTTCACAGTGCTCTTCCAAAGTGAATTCACCTATACAACTTGACAAGTTGCTTCTGAAAACACGAAAACAAAAGTGTTTTGTTAAAAAATCAGTAATTTGTTTTAAGAATCTTTGACTTAATTTTAAATTAGTAAACAACTTTTAAGTCAGTAACACAGGGAATGAAGGAAGACACGGTAGATTACTCTCTAAATGCATTAGAAGTATCAATGTAAGCATTCTCCCAAGGCACTGAAACTTAACCTTTCCCCATTTAGTTTGCTTTGAAAATTCCATAAAAAGAAAATTAGGATCTGCAAAAACTGCGCAAAAATAAAAGACTGCCTCTACCACTGCAATTTAAAGTGTACAAGCTACTGAAAAAGGAAAGGATGTTAAAAGTTCGGGTTTTAATATTTCGCAAGCAAACCGTGTTCCAAACTGATGTACACTTGATGTATATCCCTAGCAATAAAATCGAATCTCCATGCAATCGAAAGAAAAGACTACTAAAACTATAGTTAATATGTGCGCTTTAAATTGAAACTTTTTTTCTCAAACCACTTGACAGAGATGCTCACTAGTGTCAACAGTGAAGTGTGAGCGTAGCCTTTCCCCAAACCTGTACAGCAAGCACCTTGAGAACAGGAACTGCAGTAACTCAGGTCAGTTACCATATGCCAAACAAGGTGCTGAACAGCTGACTCACAATACAATAAAGACAATTATGAAGAATTTCTCTGCAATAGCGACGCCAAATTTTGATCTGAACTGAATCAGCCTCATTATAATACCGGTACTGGTCCCGATGACAAAACTCCAAATCTACATTAAGAAATTAACTCACCGGCGCACTATAAACAAACAAGGAAGAGTTTAGAACGGCGCGCTCGTGGCGTCATACGTACGCTGGCGGCCCAGTTCCTACGCATGCGTACTGTATGATTGTGTTAACACTGCCGGTTCCCAGGCCTAAAGGGCCCCAGAAATTTCGCAACCGCTGCGAGAGTTCGGCTCTAGGGGGAGCCGGTAGCCGGCTAGAACGCTCACCCGGTTTTCTCGCCTCCTTGTGGCCCCGCCCCACGGTGCTGATTTGGCGAGACGCTGGGGCGCGGTTTGCTGCTGGACTTTTGACTCCTGTAAGCTATGAAAAACCTTTCTAAAATCAAAGAGGGGTGTAAGATTTCCTTCGGTACACTGGAAACTTAGGCGCCTCTTTCAACTTCCAGTTCTCTCCCCCAGAAGCACCCTCCCAAATGTAGTTTTTGCAAAGAAATAATTTCACCAGTAAGTATCGTTACCCCCATTAAGATTCAATTTGTAACCTTTTCATTTACATTGTTTAATAGGGTTATAGCTACAGGGCAAAAATAGCGTTTTAAAATAACTTCAACAGGAAGCATTTGATGTAAACCTATCTTCCCTTTACTCTACCTGTATTCCATGCAATGTATAAAGAGCAGTGAAAACATAGAGCGAAACAAAGCTACTTAAGGTTCAGATGCTCTCTCTTTTCCAGGTCAGATCTATAAAACCATTTATGTTGGGTTTGGAACTTGGTCACTTTCATTTCACCTCCATCAATTACGTATCTTCCTGAAACCTGTTTTCAACTTCTCTTTACATTGACACTTAAGTATATTCATTCATCCTCTGCTTAAGTTTACTAAGGGCAGAGAAAATTGTTTACTGTCACATGCATGTAGTCTGCAGAGGGAATGGTATGTTGTAAAGTTTAAAAGTTTGTTAAATGAACCAATCTCTTTTCTAACCTTTGACTTCCACTCCTTCCTGTCAATCTTTGCCCCATTGTACTGAAACTGCCTTTGCCAACACCACTATCATTTTGTCGCTAAGTCAAAAAGTCACATTTTAGTCCTTACTCTTTTTGAAGCACATTTTGATTTTGCTACCAGGTATTCCTCTTTTAAAGTTGCCCTTTCCTCCACTTGAAAACATCCTTTTTCTGCTTTGATGTTTTCATCTAACATTTACAGGGTAGATACATAGAAATAAGCATTACAGAGTCAATGGGGCAAAATATATTGAGTTAAGGAATGGACTTTCTTCAAGGATAGAGGAGGGTCACTCACATGAGAAAGAGAGGGTGGCTTGTATGATCATCTAGATTATATGTATGCCCTACTATGTAGATAAAAAAAAAGATTATTTCTGAGTATAAACCTAATTCTGGGTAATTCCCCAATTTTCATTCTTCTAGTTTAGGAGGTGATAAAAATTTCTTGTAAACCTATAGGGAATCAATTAACCTCAGCTTGAAGTAATCTATTTGCCAAAATGCCATGTCTTGGGAAGCTCTGTTCTGAACATTTTGGGAAGACCAATTTTTCTATGTCTGTTGAAGCAGCATAAAAAGCTACTCCAAGGGAATAATTTTTTTTTTAAAGTGTAATGAAGAAAGTTTTATTATAAAACATGTGATATAATAAAGTTATATTTAAGGAAGTATTAAAATGAGATTCCCACTAAGAAATGAGTGTTAAATGTGGGATGGGTATTTATGAAAGAAAAGTGTAAATATAAGAATGATGCTTTTATAAGTGATCAAAGATGAGAGGGTTTAATCTGAACATATGGTATTTCTTCCCTCTCATTAGCATTTTCAAATTGCTCTCTGCTACTTTTTAACTTTGAAAGTTTTAGTTGACTTACTGAGTAACTCAACATTTCTAACTTACTTCCTTTGCATTAATTTCAGGATCATGAACTCATTCCTATTGCCATCAGCTGTCTTCCTACAAGCAGTTATCATCTTGCATCACACTTCAATCTGAGAACTTCACCTTCTACTTCTTCCTGAGATGTCCCAGTACTTGGTAGGCAACATTATTTATAGTTCATTTGCTTATGTTATAATAGCCTTTCTAACCAATCCTAATGAATGCCTTCATCAATTCATAAATTTCCGTTTCAGTAAAATATCAAATTTTTACTAGAAAAAAACTACTTGAGAGAAGTATTAGTATCTGCTAAAGATACCTCCCCCAAACTTGTATTTTACTACTATTTTTTTTTTCTTTTAAATGTGTAACTTCTAGTTTCCTTCAAAGTAAATGTTCTCTTAAAGGGAAAGCCTGAAATCCTATCTAAAAGGAATTCCATGTCAATGGCTAAAAACCAAAAATAAGAGTGAAAAAGTGTTAGTGTAACCTAATGTTTGAACCAAGTCATGGACTAAATGAGAGGGCCAAAATTTCAGGGAAAAGAGAAATAGGTCATTCTCTACGGGATCATGCTACGTGGACCCTAGTGTGCCCACGTAGGCACGAGGCTGAGGTAGACTCTCAACAGAACATTTGGTTAAGTTTTAAGAAAGATATATATTGAGGTAAAAAAGAACTTTATACACAAACATAACAGGAATGTTAATTCAAAAAAATATTTTCTGACAATCAAACTAATAGAATAAATAAATAAATAAATTCCCCAGTTTCCTGTGTGTGGGAAGAACTACATTGCCTAAGAAAATTACCAGTTCTAGAGGTATCTCTGTAGAGGTGAGGAGAGAAAATCTAGGAAGTAACCAGCAAAAAAAAAAAAAAAAAAAAAAACAGAGGGTAATTGTGCACATTTCTAGAAAACATGCCACTGTTTGATGCCTGTGCTACCCCTATTTCTATATCTTCCCCCCTATAAAAAGTTAATGTTAATAAAGTTATGAGCTCACACGGGAAATATGTGATATTTTCTTTATATTCAGATTATACAAATATAATCAAAGGGACAGCACCGTCTTGCAGAAGCAGCTTTTGGTTTGGTTTGGCTTACTGGACATTGGGGATAGTAAGGTAGAATAGATGGCCACTGTGGCTTTCGAAATGCTTTCCTTTTCGGTCCCAATTTCCCCCTGTAAATTAGCCCTGTTACGCTGTGAGTCATGTCTTGCCAGTGCAAGTGCACAGGTGAGGTCAGGAACTGTGAGATTTCCCCAGCCTTGCATGGTTTCACTAACACTGTTGGATGTTTAGACTCCTCCTTTTCTATATGCACTGTGATTATACCATGAGGGTATTGACCTGAAAAATTATTTAGTAAAACCAAATATAGAACCTTTTTCTATGTCATAGTAGACTAAAAGTCAGGTTAAGGGTTTACTTGTTTGGGGGGCAGAAAACCAAAAAACAAAAGGCTATGATCTAGCTCTAAAAGTCAGAGAGCTTTATAACAGGTAGCAATTTGTTGGTCTGGTATGTTTCTTTTTCTTTTGCTCTTTTTCTGAGAGATTACAAATAGACACATTAAAAAAAAGTTGTGAAGAATAGATATAAATAATGTAAAAATTGATTAACAGTTATGTTTTTTAATTTCATCATAGTTACATGGAGTAATTGAGAACCATTGCATTACATTCAAAATGCATTTTTAACAGTGAAGACCATCGTGTAACATTGTCAAATCTTTTTTTTTTTCTTTTAGTTTAAATAGAATCTGCATATATTCATTATCTTAGCACAAGAGATTGAAAAGTCACTATTTTAGCACCTCCTTGATACAAACTCATGGTATTTTATCCATTTTCACTTGTTTTCAAAGCAGTGAGACTTTTATAGCTAAGTGATAATTTATCTTTCTTCCATACAACTTGCCCATCAAAGATTATGTATTGTGATAATGATAGGCTTATTGTTACTGTATTAATTGGAGAATAAAATGTCATTTGTGTTGATCCTACTTTTATCTAGAACTCAATAAGAAAAAAAATAGCTCTAACCATCTTTCCTATTATTTGAACAGAATAGAAATGACTACTGTATAAAAACATAGGGAAAACTTCAGATTAATTAGGGTATATTCAACCCAAAGCATAGTGTCAGAGTTTGGCATAGTCAGAAGTATAGAATTACTTTACCATTCCTACTTATTTTTATATTATGAAGGTCTAAATGGGTCCAAAATACAAGTACATGTCTGTTTAATAGTTTTTAAGCCTATTAGAATGAAAGAAAAAAGTAAAGAGGACATTGTTTCCATTTGTCTTTGTATTTGACAATCAAAAGTTTCTATCTAGGGCTTCCTTGGTGGCTAGATGTTAAGTCTCAGTGCTGTCACTGCTATGGTTAGAGTTCTATCCTCAGCTAGGGAAGTGACCCACATAATGCAGCAGACCTCTCTTTTGTCCCCTACTGCCCCCCTTAGCAGTGTGTTTCAGTACATCTGTCTGTTCTGCTCCTCACTTTGTCTCTGGTGAATCCTCTTATCCCCCATACCTCTGGCCTGTACTCCAGTTCTTTTACACCTAAGTAAAAGTAAAATTTATCTACTCTAATGTACTAATTTTACTGATATTGGACTTCCAAATATTAATAATACTGTGATCAACAACTTTACTAATTTTCTCCTATATTAGAAATCCCTCGTTCCATTTGTGCCTTATACCCTTTATGTTAAACTATTCCTCCATCTAAATAGTTTACCCTCTTTGCCCTTTATGTTAAACTATTCCTCCATCTAAATAGTTTACCCTCTTTGCAAATGCAATTGAAAGAAAGATGGAGAAATATTAGCTGGGGATGCTAGAAGAGTATTATCTCTCTGTAGAGAGAACAGCAAATCAGTCTCCCCTGACCCTGGCACCCAGGAGACAGGTATACCAATTTCTTCTGGCGGCTATTCCATGAGTAAAAAGGAGCCATACTTAAGATGTAGTCAGTCTGTGATGGATGAGGAGAATGTCAGATTTTTTTAATGTTGATAATTCCAAAATTTTACATATTTCTGAATTCCTAGTTACCTGAGTTTGCAAATTACCATATTATTATTATTATTATTTTTGGGTAATTTTAAGTTTTCAGTTTTCTGCCACTAGCTGCAAAAAACAGCTTTCCTGTCAGGAGTCAATAGGGAATTCATGGGCACAAGGCATTTATT